TACGACGTCAGATGTTCAAACAACCTTCACTTTTGACGCCCTGTCTCTAGACTATCGAAGGTATGCCTCTGGGCCAAATTTCGGGCAAATCTGTGGTTTTGACCCCCTACCGTACCTACCGTAACTCCACCGGATGGCGCTGTCGCACGAAATAAACATCATATTCGTGTTCAGCGTACCAAATAACCCCCCTAGACGAAGTTTTAGTGAGATTCACGATTTTCATTTTTTGGGTCAACTTATGTTTTTATTTTTTTATTTTTTTTATGTCAACTCATTGCCTTTCCTTTGTTTTTGTCTTCATTTTCTCTCGCTTTGTTAAATATCGCGCTCTAATGCCAAAGTCTTGCGCGTGCGTAGTATTCAGCTCCAATTTGGATTTTCACCCTTATCTTACGTCTTTTCTTTCAGACTAGTAAACTTGTATCAGTGGCGTACCCAGGATTTCGGCTCGGGGGGGGGGGGGGCGCGACAAAAAAAAATTTTTCGATGAAGATGCGTGGCGTGAGCCACGCACTCCGAAAAATTTTTTGGTATGCTTCCTGAAATTTTCGGGGCTCAGGACCCCGAAATTTCAGAAAAAGGGGGCGTGGCGTCAGCCACGCCCCCGAAAAAATTTTTTTTATAAGGCTTGAATTTTTAAAAATTTTTAAAAATTATTTTAATTACTTACAAGTATAAACAAGTCTTTTGCACATTTTTATAACTCATGTAAGTAACTTTCAAAAATTTCGCGACCCATTCCTAAACAGTTGGTCAAGGGGGACTTCGTACAACTTCCGAAAGTCATGAGAGACTTCGTTTTCAGAAACCCTAGAAACCGACTCGTGCCGGACCCTGCCCCCAACCGCTGGCGCAAAACATGTCACTGACGTAGCCTGTAGGGTTGGAGAGCTAAGTTCACTCAACTATTCGCTTCTCAAATGAACTCAGCAGCGGTCCGCCTTCGCTAATCCTACACTGACGTCTGTAACGAAAATTCGCCCTAGTCACCCATGCAGGAGGCAGGCCGCAGAGGCTATAAGCCGATTCAGATCCTACCGCGCAGACGCGGCACACTAAATGGTGGACATTTGTCATTTGGTATCGCCTATGCGAAAATGAACGAGACATTTTAGATAATCCACAGACTTGATGGGCGCTATTCCAGTATCCGGGCCCCAAAATTTTTTTGTCGTGGATTCTGTCGAAACTTGGCGCAGGGGGGTTATTCGACCCGCTGATGCCGAATATCATATTGGTTTTGTATGGTAGCGTCATTTTCTCGGGTTACGGTGGGTATACGGTAGGGGGTAAAAATCACGGAATTCGCTAAAACTTGGCCCAGGGGGGGGTTATTCGACCCGCTGATGCCGAATATCATATTGGTTTTGTATGGTAGCGTCATTTTCTCGGGTTACGGTGGGTATACGGTAGGGGTCAAAATCACAAATCGGCAAATGTATATTTCCCCTGTGCTTTGCTTAGGAAGAAGCCGCAGTAGGGTGTGTAGCGCGCGGCGGTGGTCATGTGTGCAAAGCTTCACGATCATCCGAATCGCCATACACCCGTTTCGGGATGAACTATGTTTTACACCCGTTACCGTGTATCTTCCGTAACCCGAGAAAATGACGCTACGGTTCAAAACCAATGTGATATTTGGCATCAGCGGGTCGAATAACCCCCCTGGGCCAAGTTTCAGCGAATTCCGTGATTTTGACCCCCTACCGTATACCCACCGTAGCCCGAGAAAATGACGCTACCGTACAAAACCAATATGATATTCGACATCAGCAGGCCGAATAACCCCCCCCCCCCCCTGGGCCAAGTTTCGACAGAATTCACGACAAAAAAATTTTGGGGCCCGGATACTGGAATAGCGCCCAAATGGTTCTTGAGGTTTGAAGGTTTTTTTTTTACTTTCAAAGTTAATTTGGGCGCTATTCCAGTATCCGGGCCCCAAAATTTTTTTGTCGTGGATTCTGTCGAAACCCCCTACCGTATACCCACCGTAACCCGAGAAAATGACGCTACCATACAAAACCAATATGATATTCAGCATCAGCGGGTCGAATAACCCCCCTGCGCCAAGTTTCGACAGAATCCACGACAAAAAAATTTTGGGGCCCGGATACTGGAATAGCGCCCAAATTAACTTTGAAAGTAAAAAAAACCTTCTCTCCCTGCTCCATCGCATTGATTCAGTTTTGCTTACGCGACAACAAATGTCAGGCGTCCGTTATGTAGTACACTGCATTAAACCTTTTAGAACAGTTTAGCCAGGTTATAACGCCGCCTGTGTACGGTCTGTCTCATGCGGGACCAGATCGAAATATTGGCTCAAGTTTGTATACCCGCACCGCTAGGAATTTGCGCTGCATGTGCGCGAGCGGAGCATTGCCGGAGTAGAAGAAACAGGCAAGGATAGAATAGACAGTTCTTTCCTAGATGCTGCTCGGAACCATAGTGGTGCGGACGCGAATCACGTCAATTCTGACCTGCGGTTGGTCCAGACTGTGGTTGCTTTCAACTCATTGGTCTAGTTGTGCAACCACACGATTCTCAGACTTCCAAATTTCACATTTCATGTTTTTGGACACAACAGTCGTCACGAATGAGTTTGGCATTGCTCCCACCTTAATAGAAGCTGTGAAAAAGAACCCTCTTCAACAGTATACGTATAGGCTTGCAAAAACTGGGAAGTTTCTCGCTTAGGTCTTATTGACAACGTAATTTTACAAGAAGCATTTGCGCAAAGGATTCCTTATGTCCGAAATCACTCTGCTTCAAAGGAAGTAAATAACGTTGAGTCATTGACTTGTGAGCCTGTACGCTATGCGCGGCAACAGACGACACCCTTACTAGCGTATCCGTAAAAAACTATTTTGGCGTAACAAACTTTCAAGTGTACTGCTGAGTGTTACGTATCCAATCAAACCAAAGAGACAACGAGAAATCACTGGAAACGAGTAGGTTCCAATCGTACAGGTCGTCAGGAAGAACGCATGGTGTACAATATGTACAGTTCATTTTCAAAGTAGTGACGACGAGTTGACTGCGATCTTTCCGCACACGATAAAACACCCATACAAACAGGCATCACCTCAACGCTAAGCTTAGTCACTTCCAGTGGGGGCGCGCGGAAGACGACAATCGCCGAAAAATGGAGGCTGTGTATCATCCGTCTCAATGACTTCCACGGAATTCTACTTGTGGCATTGAGTAATGTATCTGCCCCCCCCCCCCCCACCCCACCTCCGTAGTCCCCCCGGGGTGTCACTTTGACACCGGAGAGTTTTTGATAGGCACAAAATTGGGGATTGTCGCCTTCCGCACCACACCCACTTCCAGTGCCTGAATACTATCATATGTAAGCGGAAAAACTATTTGAGTAGAGATAGGAACCAAGAATTGGGAGTGCGTGCGTGTTGCGCCCGGTCGCGCCATCGCCACGATTTTTCAAATGCCCCGTATAGGAAGTTACAAATAATTCAAGAATGTATGAAGCAAAATACTTTCCAAAGAGCGAAATCATATCCACTGGTGGTTACTTTCAAGAAAACAAAGAATAGATAGAGAAAACTCAGATGAGGCTGCGAGGTATCCCAGGTTTTCAAGAAGCTGTGCAACTGCACCAGGTGGCTGATGTGTTTACGGCAACTTTAAAATGACTATGCAGTCTCCTGATAATATGACTAGTACTCTTCTTGTAATCTATGCTTTTTTTTGAGCCAAATAGATACGATGTTTAGCACACACACAGCAAGATCATTTCAGAATCAAGTATGTAGAAGATAGGCTTCCTTTCACAAGTTCCAGACATCGCATGTCAGATTCTGCTGAGCTAGGCAAATGACACTGTGTTCTGGGGTGCAGACAACATTGACTAAAAAGCCATTTTTTTTTGCGCAAATGTTGTTTGCGACGACTCCTGTTCTAGTAAACTTATCAGTTTGACTTCAAGGAAGAAGAGCGTTTCAGATGAAGATATGCACTGTGTTCAGTGAGGCGATTAACATTTGTAATTCATTCCAAAGTTCCATTTTTCCAACAAAGAACTCCGGTTATCTAAGGACCTTGCTTATAAGAATCAGGCCCTATAATCAGATATATTGTTCCCTCTCAGCAAAGAGAAAACCTCATCGGATAGTGGCAAATAGATCAGCTTGTTTGCTGCAAGCGAATTCTAGACTCAAAATGATTAACAACATCGCCTATGCCGGTGCTTTTCTTCGTTGTCTAGAATCGGATCCGAGCTGCTATTTCGGCAAAATAAATATAATTCGGGGCGAGCGGCATAGTGGTATGAGGCGCCGCTATGACCAGATCGGACTCAAGTTCGATCCCCGCCCCTGGGCCAACTAAGCCCTCCACCCTCAGGGGCCGGTAAATTGGTACCAGAGTAATCTGGGAGGATAAAAGCATTGACTGGTAAACAGCTGGCCCCCGCAAGTCACTGTAATAGACTCGCACGCATACAATTGCCTCTTCGAATGAAGTGGTGTGCATTCGGGCGTATGCCCGCAGAGGGTATTGAAGACGCCAAGTCCTTCATCCTTTATTGAGATAATTCTCGGAGACGGCGCTTCATCTGTAGCACCAGTAGACACTTAGTGGACGATTTTGCATATGAACTAGAGCAGTCTGCTAGGAGAGGTTAGTGTGCCGTTTATTAAGAAACGGCCTGTTCCAGTTTCTATTCAAAATCTTCCACCATGTGGAGGAATCCAGACGACAGTGCAGATAGGAACTGTATGATCAAGGATGCAGCGTAGAAGTTTTGAATCATGAGGTAGGAAATGAGAGACTTGTAAAACATTGCATTATTAGCATTGGAGCAAAAATCTTCTCGCCGTCATCAATCTCGAAGGTAGTTATATTCGATGTAGGTAGACGTCTCATCATAATCACACATAGCAACAGTCCTGTTCAATAATTTAAATAATTTTATCATTCAGATTTGATAAACATTACAACCTCAAATGTAAAAAAGGCTAGATAAAGCTTCGATTCTGCACTGGAAGCGCTTTGTAATCAAACAAAAAGATCAGGAGTAAAATTGCGGTAAAGTATTTCACCAACGTTGGCATAGGCATCTTGATACATAGATACAAGGGAGGAATAGCTCTGCAGAAAAAAATGTTGGAAAATGTATAAAAAGCAAGGAAAAAGAGATACACGCAAAACTTTAACTAAGAGTCAGACAATTTCTCGAAAATACATTCTCGTGTAAAAACAAACCGGCGTTATTTCTTCGGGGGAGCAGCAGCGGGTGGATTTTGCGCTGGTGGTGCAGCGGCACTGGCAAGTTTCCTTTGCTGAACTAATGTACTGATATTGGACAGGACGTCTGCTGGTGCATACTGTCGTAGAAGTTGATTTTCGCTTTCCAACGATGCAACCCGCTGTTCAAGTTCGACAATCGTTTGCCGTAGCACCTCCACCTCTTCTCGAACGGCAAATGTTAGATGGGTTTTTACCAGATCCATTGCTTGTTCGATTTTATTGTCAATGGCGACCACGTTTGGAGTTGGTAGCGTGGCGCCATTGCCTGGAAGTGGATGTTCCTCGTCTGCTGGTGTGGTAGAGCCTTCGGCTCCTGGCATTTTGGGCAATGCAGGAGGTACAGCGTCATTGTCCAAGGAAAGGATCTTGGCCTGATGTCCTCGTTCCAAATCACGCATAGCTCGCTCGGTGGCTTCACGAGGCGTATTAGCACGTTGTGGCGTTACTGGGGCTGGGGCAATGGAGGTAACCACAATGGTGGAAGATTCCTTCACATCGTGGGCAGATTTCGATTCCGCGGTACGCTCATTCGAAGGTGCTTTCTCGGCCGCATTTTCTGTACCAGTCGTTACCTCTCGTTCTCGGGCTTCTGTGAAATCCAATATGTGATCACGTTCTGAATGATCGTCATCGCGATAATCACGACACTTCCATCGTCCTCGTGTAAACACTCCCGGCACAGGTACAACGTGAAATTGCCGTTCTCGCGGTGCGCGTACAGTAGTCGACATTTTTTGCTGGGTTGCTTTTAGAAAACAGCCATTCACCTGGAAGAACTATGCAACATCAAAAGCATTACTTTAAAGCACAAGAAAAATTTCCAGATATCATAGGAAGATACCTAATCACAAAAAAAAACCAACATGGGTGAAACTTTACGCATATATAACAGTAACGATCGTCCGGATAACAAATAAGAGCTAATTTTTAAATCAAATCCGAAGTTCTTATCATAATACAACTTCCACGTGTCTCATGTGCTTCTTCTGTGATTCTCGTCTTTTTTCGGCTAACCTTCGCTGCGCGGCAACGTCTGCTCTCTAAAACATCATTGAAATTACAAAATGTAGATGATGTTCCGAATTTGAACAGCTGCTGAGGACGTGTTCTGCAAAGATTGAAATTTATTCAACGCAGGCACATCGCCAATTAGTTGGAAGAGCAGCAAATCAGAACATCCGTGGTCTAGTAACACACAAAAATTCAACAAGACACAGCTTACAATGCCTTTTTGTGAAAAAAGACGCAATTTTCCCCAGAGTCCGCGGTCTTTGCGTCGCATCACCATATTTTGATTCAGAGTGGACGAAATTTGAATCAACGACACCATTCAAATCAAATCGACGCCGCTCTTTTGGAATGTCAAGGTGCTTACCGACTTATAAGCAATCAGTTCTCAACAGCAGCTATTGTATGTAACATGTTGATGACACAATGAGTAACCACCATTAGCTAGGAGTTGAAAAGATCGTAAAAACTGACTGCCGTGCAACTTTTGCATACCAGACAAGCATTTCTAAATATTATAACCAAGGCAGCGTGAGGTAAGTTGAATTGTGAATATGTAAGAGTCCGCAGTGGACCGGAGATATGGCGATGTGACGCATATGGCAACCGGTTACAATCGCATTTTTTTGGACATTATGAATGGGATTGTATAGTCATGTCAGAGGAAAGTACCCGCAGTTTGGCACGTTGATAGAAGAGGATGTTCAACCTACATTTGTCCTGGGACACAGTGAAAGTTTCTCAATGCACTTCCACTAACGATGGAAACGAGAATCAGACTAATCACAAGTCAATAATTCCCATCAAAGCTACCTTTCGGATGATTGCTGCATCCTCTTCGGTTTCTTCACGTGCGTGCATATTTCTTTCAACATCATAAATTGTGGATCGCAACTTATCAAAGCAATCAGCAAGGTTGAGATGCCTTTCCCGAGTCCGATCACTCTCAATGATGAGCTAAAAAATTTAAAAAGTGTTGTGGGAAAAGACCAAACCACTAAAAGGCAACAAAAAACAAAGTCAAAAGAACAGCAGATGATGAGAAAAAAGTCAAAATACCACTCACCTCTCCCCCAGCATTTATTCTATTCGCAAGACGTTTGGCGAGACCATCCTTCAGCTCGTCCGATAGCCACTCGGCATCTGCCAATTTGAACCTGATCTCCACCTAAATACGAGTGACTAGAAAAGACTAGCTAAAATGTTCGCAAACATCGCAGACAAAAAATCAATCGGACAACGACATCATGAGTTTCTGATTACTTATGATATGGTAAGACGTTTTATAACTGACACTGCTGAGAACAACAAGTGAACAAAGCTAGATGCGATAAGATTATACGCACTAATCTCGTGCTGCCTGTCATAAGGTTGCTTACGAAGAGCGAAAATGAAAAACGACACTGACAGCAATTGTTTATTACCTAATGTTCCCCCAAGCGATTTCTATACATTTGACACAACAGCAGAAGTTTCAGACAGTTTCCCACGGAAGCAAAGAAGGAAAATCAAAAGATCAATTTGGGACAGCAAAGTTTTGGGCAGTCTCTCTCTCTCTCTCTCTCTCTCTCTCTCTCTCTCTCTCTCAAAAAAAGCGCTACAAGCTGAAAAACAATTACTCTAGGATGTAGAATACTTTGAGAGTACGCAAAAAAAGTTGATCAGCTTTCGATGGTCCTTTTTCTTTGCTGGAAACAAAGGCACAAAATTATTTTCTATACTGGAGGGAGCAAAACAATATGTCGAAGAATATGCCTCATCATATTTCACTCTAGCACACACTGATTGATTGCCTACATTTAGTGTGTCCCGCATGACCAAACTGACAGCCATCACCAACAAGAAAAAATGACAGTCAATAGAGCTTGCTTCACGATCATCTCTTCCAATGTTACTCACTTCCTACCAAAAAAAAACTCAATGTTTGCAACTGTTGCTGACATAAGGCAAGTAAAAGAAGTATATCGAAACAACATTTGAAATAAAGAAAAGATGGTATGGCACATAATTCGTCCAGAATTCGGACTAATGCTCCGTTGCAGATAATAACGAGAATTATTTGAACACTCACACAATGACTCATGTGAAAAGAATGCCCGCACTCACCTTTGTGGCATTTTTCTGCACATTCTGTCCTCCAGGCCCACTACTTAATGAGTATCGTTTCTCTATTGATTCGGTAGGGATGACGCCATTGAACTTGGTACCAGTGGACGAAGAAGCAATCTGAGAGATAAAATTATCAGTCGACCTGATGATAAACCAAAACAATACCTTTACATGACCTTATAAAGATGAAATACTGAGCTACATCTCAAATTGTTATAGCAAATCACAGCAAAACAAGGAAATAATGAACAGCTACTAAGCAGGGAATTCAGAACTCAACCCAGGCATATCAAACAAGCCATATATCATCGGACTCGCATTGAAACGCTGATCTCGAATATATGTTTGATATCTGCCAAACGACTCTTTCTTGTAATTAGAACACCCATAGTCACTGTGATTCCGCACCCTCAGGTTCCCTTCCGACGAATTATGTTCTCGGAAATCGAAGACTTTCTCATATTTAAACGCTCATAACTCCTTTCGGATAGTCATTCGGCAAATAAGCAAATAATAAACTATTTCGAAATCTCAAGGCGAGTCCGATCATATAGATCCTGTTTGGAATAGCTGGGCTAAGTTCTGACCATTTTTTTTTTCGTAAACAAGGAAGAAAGATTTCGACTAATAAAGCAACATTCCTAGCTAGGAAAGGAACCTAATTTGCCCTGACGGACTGAAATGAAATGCATATAACTGAACGCAGCTTGATAAGCTGATTTTAAAGGCTTTCCGTGCTTACTAGACAACTCCTTAAAAGAAGTTGTGAGCCTTTAACAGTCCCAATGACGCAATTTAGTGCCTCATATCAAAAAATTAGCTGCTCAAAAACATTTTTGTCTGCAGTGAATATGTTTCTCTTTGCATACAATACCGATAACACCATGCCAACTGGGCTCTTAATTATTTCATAGTATCAAACGCTCATAACTCTTTCTAAAAAATCGTACCGAAGGTGCAAGAGGTAGATTAAATATAAGCTGATCAGGACGCTTCTGATGATACACATTTCACACCATATTTCAGTGCATTGGAACCTTTCCGTAAGCAGGGTCAACCAAAATGGTAAAACTTATCAACAAAAAAGTTCACGAAACAAATCTATCGGATGAAGATGCTGACCTGAGTAATTGATGAAAGCGAAGTTAGATGCGGAAGCCTTCTCGAAATTGAATACATAAGGACGATTCAATTGCCTGAAAGGTCTTGATTGGAGGATGGAAGAGAGAGGGTGCATGGAGAAGCTGATGGAGAAAGTGCGTGTTGGATTACTAGGAACAAAAGAGCGCAAGGAAGGAGGAAACAACTGATCCTGGCTAAAAACCAACGAGGAAGTAGACTGTCATGTTTAGGATCTACGTGAACTAAGTTAAAGAGATCTCTGGAACGTGAGCAAGAAAGGATGATGTAACTGAAAAGTAGCTTCATATTTGTATTCCTCAGCACACATAATGATAATAAGAGACAGAAACGGGAAGCAAAAATATACGGCGCTGCCATCTTAATCACCCCGAACACACAAAATACGTTTGCTGTGTTGGAACTTTGCACTCGAGATTTTTGAGATGCACATCACCAAAACTCATTTCGCTCGAAAAGACCCGCCTCAAAGTGTTACGGTAGACGTACGGTATGGATGATAACCCCAACACTCGCTGTAATCTTGCATAGTGGATTCATGCGACATGTTGATCACAAGTTGCACTGGTAGATATATGAAATTGATCCCAGTTCCAACTCTTAGTAAGGTTTACTTCAACGGATAACATATTTTTGATCAGCATGATAATCCCTTCTGGAAAACGAATTCAAAAATTCACCAGATACCGTATAAACAATATAACCCCACAAAACTGCCTTCCATAAAATTATATTGATGGTTAATATTGCATTTTCCTTGAACGACTTAATGTTACACTCACCAAAAAACCCTGGCGGTGGTTTAGAAACAAAAAAGGAAGTAGTTGCAAAACTGTACAAGTCGAACCTATAGAGTGAAAAAGCAGAAACTCGCGTAATCGTGCAGAGTGCGGAACCAGTTTTGGGAACACGCTGCTATTTATGGTTGAGATAATCTTATTAGCCGAAAAGATTAAATTTGTAAGCGTTTAATCGCTAAAGCCGGGTAATAACGCCGTCAAACCAGAGCTGATTACAACGACAGCTGCAGCATTTAAATGAAAGCATGAGAAAATGAAAAGACTTTTAGAGGAGAGAATAAGATACTTGATGTCATTACGAAATCGTGTTCGAGAAATAAATGTCACAACGAAGTCGAAAAGTCATGTCCAAGTAGCAACAGAAGACATGATGTGTAGTTCTGAAAATAAACAAGAGGATTTTGATTTTTAACGGTGAAAACAAAACAACTAACTGTAATTCGGGAAAGTGCGTGTGAAAAGAACGCAAACGTCAAAAAAAAAAGATGGGGAGAAATAACAGGGCCAGCTTTAGAACAGATATGTAAAACGTAGCCTATACCATTGACATGTCCTAACAACAACAAAATAAAACTGCAAAAATATCATTCCTAGACATCAGCTGCTCAGAAATGCAAGCTAACAGGATAGAAAATCAATGTTTCTACGAATATATCGCCCGCGCGCAAACGCTGTCAACATTGATCGCCATCCGTCTGCACTCTCCGCGCCTAGAGAAGATAGCGGCAAGCAGCAAGGTATACGGAGCAGATGCTTGAACGCACACTATATGCACGATGCTTGCATTCTCTACCCTTTTCATAGATTAGCTACAGATGTCTCTAGCTGTAGTTAAAGTTCATTTATAATTTCGTGACGAGGAGGAGTATAAAACGCTCATACAAGAAGGCATCAACTCAACGTTCAGCTCACAAGGGAAGCGTGTATAGTCGAAGTGCCCTATCAGATGAGACGCATACTGCTTTAAAGGCAGTGGATCGGCAAAATCCAACAACTCAGGATTTTAAGGCCGTAGGTTCCTTATCACCCAAGTATGAAAACAGTGCAATCCCGGTTGCACAGCATGCTTTCCTTGCCGAGAAAATCGCTCTCAAACTTACACGCGCAGGCCAATCTTGCACGCATCTGGACCAGTTGGCAATTTCCTTCTCACTCAGACATTCGCGTCCCGCCGGTGAAAAAGTTGTGTCCCGACGGTGACTGCGGGACTCAAGTAGAATGCTTCCCGAGAAAACCGGGACTCCCGGTTTTCGTTCGGGCTAAGGTTGCGCGACACGCGCTTTTGTCCCGACACGTTTTCTACTGAGAAAACCGGGAGCTCCTGCGGGAGTCCCGATAATGTCGCGATCGAATCACCGGCAGGACTCCCGCTCATCAAAGGTCGATTAGAGCCACCGTACAGCAGCTTCGGAAACCAAGTCCGAGTTCAAGATTGAATAACGCCAAGATCCTATCGAAGGTTGTCCTTTAGACAACATATTGACAGTGTTCTTGCCTGTAAGATTGGAAACACATCCAAAGTTGTGGACATTGAGGGTAGTCTGACCGTGCGTCATATTTCACGCAAGTGTCCTTTACGCTCAGACACTGGGAACGCGCACCGAAATCGCGACTCCCGATAATCTCCCGCTTCAATTTTTCTGTCGGGATAATCCCGAAAGTCGGGACAAAACCGGGTGTGGCGCAAATGTCCCGATTTTCTCGCGATTTCTCATTTTGTGGGCGGATCTCCTGCGGGACTTAACCGCGAATGTCTGAGCACCATTGGAGGCTGCTAATCAGACATTCGCAGTTAAGTCCCGCCGGTGAAAAAGTTGTGTCCCGCCGGAATGACGGACACAAGTAAAATGGTTCGCGAAAAAACCGGGACTCCCGGTTTTCGTTCGGGCTAAGGCTGCGCGACACGCGCTTTTGTCCCGACATGTTTTCTACTGAGAAAACCGGGAGCTCCTGCGGGAGTCCTGATAATGTCGCGATCCAGTCACCGGCGGGACTCCCGCTCTATGCTGCAGTCTACTGCGGGAGACGAAATATAGCAGCGATTCGATCAGCTTCCGGCTGGGCTTTTTCGCAAACTGGTTCTGCTTCAAAAATTCGTACTACACACATCTTACAAATGTGCTGTGCTCGATACAGAGTTCAGAAACACTCTTCATTAAAATTCGTGACCGAAAAAGAACATTGAAATCACTATAGTTAAGTTAACAGAAAAAAACAGGAATGTCGAGATCAAGATTTGAGATTGAATCCATAATTCAAATCGACTTCACACTTTCGATGTCTTCGTCTTGCTCATGCTCCGGCTCATTCGCGTGCTCGTGCGCCAAAGAATTTTGCGTTGTAGTGGGGCAAAAACGTTTTTTCTGGAAAAGAGTAACAATCTCACACTGATTTGAGAAATCATATATGAATATTTCTTCGTCCTAGTCTCGTCGTCGTTCCCTAGGCCCAGCCAAAATCTAAATTAATGAGATATCAAGGGGTAGAAACACTTTTATCTATACCTATTTCTTTTCCGCGCACATTCAGTAGCACTCAGTTGAAGTTATTCCGCGTAGAGGCCAGTAGCATCGAGAACGAAATCTGGAAGATGTATTTTAGATTTTTTAGAAAGACCATCAATCACCCACTTATCAAAAGCGTAACCAGACTTTCGGGCAGGTCGTACAGATGGGGAAATCTTCCTTTTTTACCGGATTGTCTGCATGCAAACTTCCAAATTTTTTGTTTTGGCTCACAGGCCTAAGTGTGCAGCTCTCAATCAAGATAGACTCGAAATTTTAGTTTCACTTACATTCAAAAAATAGAGCCTATAAAAATCCATCACCAACACTAAATGGTCATGCTTGTGTGCCCTAGACGGCCGCCTCCAGGTTTTCGAAAATCTCGATCATATTTACATTCTGAAACAAAAAAGTGCTGCTCTATGGATAGAAAATACAACAGGTAACCTTAAATGGAGGAAATCCGTTGAATTTCCAGGACTTCGTCAGATTCTTTCGTTCAAATTCATGTCCTTCCGGTAATGTGACTTCGTTGCCTTTCGCTATGTGATATGACGTTTTCCGTAATTGCTTACCATGTTCTTGCTGATTGGAGAGAATTGTGTCTATCTAAAGAACTGCATTTCACCCTCCGTTCTGGATCTACCTGACTTACAGTGAGACTTAGTCCAGCTATGATATTGCTTTTTCTTTTATGATTCCAGCTAGGGTCCTCACAACTGAGTCTGAGGATGGTCTCATAAAGTCGATAGCGCTTTGCATATTTTTGATTTGTTGTAGATTAATGACATTCACTTTCTTCATCTTTGTCGCTAGCAGTTCCTGGACGACAAAAAACGCAATGGTTACTCGCATCGGTGTGCCGTTACCGTATTTTCAATATTGATTTCAAACTGGCGTACAAGTTTTCCTAATTTCACTAAAGACAAAGAATTTTCTCCTGTGATGCTGTTCACTGCCTCTAAAAACCGACACTTTTTAGGTGGTTCCTCTGTCCATATTAGAAAATTGACTGTGCCACAACCAACCCGAAAACGTATTCGTTACCGGCAGCGCGTTTGCAGTCGAAGCAACAGGATTGCATAACTCATGAAAAATCTTACGGCGTTTCTCGTCGCTACTACTTTTTCGCTGTACATCAGCCCTCCTATCGGTCAGATTTGTAGCAAGTTCCATGTCTTCTAAACTGCTACAATAATTATGAAGAGTATTTGGGAAAAAATGGTGATAGTAGGGAACAGTTTCAAAGCGATACAACAGACAGATTTTGGTGAATTACTCATGAGAAGATGCCGGGTTTTTCGAACCTCAGATATTAATGAATGAAGGATGTAAGCTTCTACAGCTCATGCCAAGCGAGTTCAAAATGTTATCTAGAAAACTTACTGATAGCATGCCCAAGCAAGGCAGCTTGATGCATGAGTTTTAAAAAATGCATCCAACATTTACCCAAGTACCGCCCAATGCTCAACTGCAACCTTGCGGCGATGGCGCTACGTTGTCCATAACGGCAAATTTATTTCCGAGGCTGAAAGAACATCCTCGATATAACGACAAAATTATACGTGCGTGCTGAGACATGTATTGTTTTGCATAGTAATATTTCTGGAGTTACGATAAGTGTACGCATAGGGAGTCATGACTCATATAAGGTTGAGATTTTATAGAGGAAACTTGTCTCGAACTGTGATGCGGATGTCGTGCAGTTATAGAATTGCAAGTAAAAGGTATTCTAAGCTTGCTATGTTGCGTCTCAAG